GACTATGTCACATTTCCAAAACTCGCACTTGTAAAAATTTATCTTCTGCCTGCAAAAAACTTCAGCGAAATACGTCAAACATCGACATTTATATCCGCCACGCTACGCAACTTTATTGTCCTTGATCTATTCTCGGGCATTCTTTTTCGGATTTCGTGCGGCAATCCAATCAGACCTTTCCTTTTCTGGAAAATACGGAATTTCTTATAAAACACAAAGCTAAAAACACAAACTTTACCGCAAAAAAGAATGCGGTGCAACCAGAAATTATCACATTGCAACCTACAGTTTGTAAATAAACAGGCTTACTATCTCCAGAAGATGACCTTGCCTGAAAAGAGAACAACACGTCAAAATGTGTCCAGGAACGGATCACACTAATGCACACGGCTAGTATGTCAAGATAAAGTAAATGAATAAGAAGTCAACGGTTTCAGACAGTATAATGCTGTCAAGAAAAAATATACGTTGAATCAGTGGGGAAATTTCGCATGATACAGATGGCCCTTGTAAATACCACACTGGATCAGAAGACGGACCTTTATTCAGCCCAGTACAAGTAATATCGATGTTCTGAACACTCAGAGTCGGAAATATCGGATGAATGATAGGCATAAAAATGCAGACAAACGACCAGGTCGTTGAAAACTGACATGAGTTTCAGACGACGACTTACGGAGAAGCAATGCGCAAAATAGCTTACATTTTGATATGTTTCCAGAACTGCAATTAATGCTCTCGTTGTGGCAATAGCTGTTGCATTACACGTATGCGCAAACTTTTCTACGCCTTTCAAGTCACGGTATTTGATGCCTGAAGCGGAACTCATCGGAATCTTACTGCGGCAGAAGAATCGAGAAGCAATCAGCGCACCCACCAAATTTGATATCAAAAAGCAATATAAAGCAATGAAATTTTTAGCTTTTCAGGACTGACAATTCAAATGCTTTCTTTCGCGCATAATGCCCTTTGAATGAAAGCGAAACCTAAGCGTCTTGCTTGATAATCAGTGCAGTTAGATGCACTTGTAACTTCGCCGTACAATTTTCGCCCTGGCATCCATGCTTCGATATCAAACTTGCGTGCCGCAGAAGCACCCAATTCTTCAGACGGCATGTCAACAAGCCTAAACAGTTTGAAAAGGTAAAATTCACAAAATGAA